TTATTAATATGAGGTGAACATTACTCTACTTTGCGTGTGCTTCTGAAGTTAAGGCTGCACCCGACTTTTGCTAACACACATCGGTTGGCCCTTCATTAGCCCTGCTCAGAAGCTCCAGGCCAATTTTCAAGACAACACACTGAGCCGGCAGATTGCCCCTGCACCCTCAGTAATGAAGACCCCAACCCACCAAAAAAAACAAATTCAAGGCTTATTACTATTCCTATTCTAATTGCTATTGCTAACACAAATATCCCTAAACCCTAAACCCCAATATTATGGTTATTCTCCTTTTTATTACAATCGACCGAGGCGACTACAAGAATCGCTCGTTTGATCTCGTGGCCGAGCCGGAAGCCGGCGACGAGGCGGAAACTGTTCCCGGTGCGAAGGGGCACATTGCGATGATGTCACGGAGGCTGTACGAGGATATATTGGGGATATATTGTGATCATGGAAAANNAGGGTTTAGGGGTTTAGGGCAAAGGATTCGTTAGAGGGATTGATGGGAATTGGCAGGTTCTGACCAGCGTCTTCATTATCATCTAGTCTACCCGCAGGCGAACAACAGTCATTGCTGGAAATGTTGGCCGATGATAAAAACCCAGCTACCCGGTATAGGACTGGAAACGTGTTGCTGGTTGCGACCCCAATGATGACCTGGAGTCTGTTCAGCATGGAGCCCTTTTGCAGATGCAGTGGCGTTTCCGCCAGCTAGCTAAACCCTTGCCTCATGTGATTTGTAGCTGCTAAGATATCTCCAGGTCTGCACAGACTTCGCGTCGCTTCTCAAGTCTCTTGAAGCCACTTGTCTTGGACAACAGTCGGTTGTTGCTTAGGCTCGTCTTCCAAGATTTTGTGTTCATAGCTGCAGTCTTAGCTACAGTGTATCATGCTTTTCTAAGCTACCAGGCCACGTGCTAGCCGCAAGTCAGACAGTGGGTTCCTTTCAGGTACAACATGTTGTGCTGGCTGCAGTTATGACTGCCGCACGATGTTATAATGTCAACCCTCTCTATCCCGACAAGATGCATGCAGTTTGGCTGATGGATTGCTAGTCTTGGCTAGGTTCACTGCAAGGAGAGGTAAGGGGATGTAAGGGGAATCCGATTCAACTGAGGGCTCAAGCTGTGACTACTCCCTGGGTGCTATCCCCGGCGAGGAGGATGCCGCTTGGCACATGCAGCAGGTGTTCGTTGGCTACGATTGTTCAGTGACGATGTCCAGAAGAATTGAACACCGCTACAGGCAACCATGAGGGCGTGCCAAACTCTGCATTTCAGTGGTCTTTGAACCTGAAGACCAAGGAAAAAACTGAAGATGCGCTGCTGAAGAGCTCACTATGAGTAGGGCTTACCCAAGCGCAGAACCCGAAGATGTGCAGCAGTAGGATAGGCGGGAGCTGTGAACGTTTCTGCGGCTCCTCTGGGAGAGCCCCACAAGAGTTAAAAGCTCTTTGGAATTTTCTGCCCGGCAGCCTCCGGCAACCTCGAGCTGCATGGGCGATTCCGCGGATGCCGAAAAAGCTTGTGCAAGTTCGGCCGCGGGCAGGCCACGCTGTCGTCCGAACTTGTCGGCATGGAGCTTTCATCAAGTCTACGGAAGTGTTAGTGTACACCGCTTGCAAGTGTCATGCCCAGATAGCTGGCCGTGGTTGAATGTGGACCCCTTCTGCCCAAGGCTGCACAAGAGGATGAAGCCAGTGTTGCAGGCCTCACACCCGACTGACTGGACATCTCCGGGCTGCGTATTTGCGATTGCACGCTGAGGTTGCACCAAGAGCCTTGTCTTGAGTCGTGACATTCAGCTTGGCGACAAAGACCAACACCAGCAAGCATGGGTTTTAATCATGCGCATGCCTGAAGGCGCACGGGGCCGATGCCCCAATCCAGGCGCGTTCGCGTGCTCTTCGCGAATATTTGAGCTTTGCATCTGGGTAGAAAGCTTGCATAACATGGAGTTTTGCCGCCTTGCAGTTTGCTCCTACGTTGAAACCAGCCCCAAGGAAATATGTGGTCTTTCAGGATATTGCGATGGACAAAATGTCGTGGGCTGCTACTGCTAGCCTTCTTCCCCATGTTTAAAATCAGCTTACCTGTTCTTAGTGGGGAAGAAGGCAACATGTTCCATAGGGACTATAGTATATGGGGGGGGAGCATATTCCTTTATTCCCGGCTAAGACTGCTAATGTAGACCCAGGATTAATA